GAGCCACTACTTTTTACAAAATAAAATTTCACATACATACTGTAATGAAAGTTTTGGTTTCTTTAAGAGCTCAGTTATGTTACATAAACATATTTTTTTTTATAATCCCAAGTGTGGGGTTTTAGTTTGTCCTCAAGTTTGTCCACAGCTCATAATTGCCTCCTGCAGGGGCATAGTCTTTGCCAGCAGGAGTTAAATTCTGAGGACTCTGAATGAAGGGTATAAATATGAGAGCCAAGAGAAAGAATGAATAGCAGCTTAGAGGAGCCCAATGGAGAAAGAAGGTGGCTGGTCACCTGGACTGCTGGTTATCTAACTACAAGACTGGTATTGCCCCGAAAGAACCGGGTGAACATAATCAGTAGGAACTAAGTCTAAAAGGGTCTATGCCCCTCTCCTCACTAACCTTCTTTCTCTCCTATCTAGGGCTGGGAGTTGGTGGAAGGGGTTTAAAAAAAAAAAAACAAATAAAATAAGAGTTTAAAAAACTATCGCCACCTGTAATCCCAGCACTCTAGGAGATAGAGACTGGCGGATCTTTGTGAGTTCGAGGCCAGCCTAGTCTACAAAGTAAGTCCAGGACAGCCAAAGCTACACAGAGAAACCCCGTCTCTGTGGCAAACAAACAAAAAAACCTAGGGCCTACAACATACAGACAAAATTTATTGAAGAAACAAAATATATAAATGGAAATGGCCACATAAAGGTAAAAGGTGTTTTAATAAACAAGATAATCTAAAAACAATGTTTTTAGTTTCTAAATTTCAGCCTATATCTTTAAATAAACAAAAACAAGCACTAATCTGGTCTTAGGAGAAATGGATGAATCTGGATTTGTACAAGAAGAAATACAAAGCTGTGCATGATGGCACATGCCTTTAATCCCAGCACTCAGGGAGGCAGAGGCAGGTAGCTCTCTGCCTGGTCTACAGAGAAACCCTGTCTCAAAAAGAAAATAAAAGAAATACAAAGTAAAACTAAAACAAATACAAAGTAAAACTAAAACATTTCATGGTACAAAAAAACTAAAAAAGCTCAAACAATTAATAGAGAAACTGGTGCAGTGGCATGTGCCTGTAATCCCAGAACTCGGAAAGGAAAAGGCAGGTGGATCTCTGTGAGGCTGAGGCCACCCTGGTCTAGAGTGATTCTCAGACAATCAAGGCCACAGAGAAACCCTGTCTCAATAATTAACAAAAACCAAAACAAAAAAGTTAATCGATGTCAAGAAGCCAGACAGAAGGGCTCCCAATAGCCAGATCTAGAACTACCCAAGACAGAAAACAAAGTAGTAGAGTAACAGGTAAGGTAAGAGAATACTGTAGGAATGTATAAGTCTACTTAACCAGAAAGCGTGAAATAAGGAATGGAGGGAAACGGTGAGAGATGACTTCCTCATAGTACAATTCCAGGTAAGTTCAGGAGTGATGGACCTGGTTACCATTTGACAACCCTAATACTAGTAACCATCATGGGGAAAATCACTAGTGGATACGAAAATTAGTATGTTGAAGTATACTGAGAAAAGGGGCCTGTGTGTCTCAGGGTGTCTGCCTAGTGATAGGCGTATGAGTTACAAAGAGAAAACAGTAACTCTGGTGGAGAGAACAGCAGGCATCAGCTTAAGTAAGCGATCAAAGCTATCACCAATACTGGAACAAGCTGTGCGGTTCAGCTAGGGAGGAGGCAGTCACACTAAACCATGGGGCACCGTGGGAACTTCATTATGCAGAAACATGGACTGGGTCCTAAAGGCGGAACACCGCACAGATAAGCGGATTCTGCACCGTCAACACCACAGCACATTGTCTAAGAAGCAGTTGCAGTTAAAGATGTACACACTAAGTGCAGAATATGACCCACTTCGGGATCTGAAAAACACGCTAAAGGGACAACTGGTGAAACCTGACAGCTCCTGACTTGACAGTACTGTACTGTACTGTACTCGTCACTTCAATAATTTATACTTGAGCAATTAAGAATACGCGCCCGACTTTAGGAAAAACCTGGGTTACTAAGAGAATCGAATCTGCAACCATTCTAAAATGTCTCGCAAAGAGCAATTGGCTAATCTGTTAACATCTGAAGAACTTGAGTAAAGGACATACAGTCATTTCTTTTACTATCATTGAGCTTTTTTTCATCAAGTAGGAAATGCTTTGAAAAAGAGTATTTGTTAAAAACTTTAGTTTTACCAATTAGATATATAGAATTTTGTAAAAGATGGCCAATATCTACCCTAGGAATGGTGGATGAACACCAGGACAGGGATGAAATAAAGCTAGGAAATTTTTGGCAGGGTAGTTTGGCAATTTAGCATGGTTTCTGACCCAGTAATCCATTTAAGTATTGCAGCCTAGGACTGGCAGTTACTTGGGGTAGATGGCACTTGCCAACAGGAACAAGGTCCTGAACTTTATCCTTGCCCAACAGGAGAGGAAGAGAAAAAACTTACTGATATAAACACTAAAACATCATAGTCTATATATGTATTGACATAAATATATAAAGAGAAAGAATACTGAACCTATGCTTTTTATTTTAAAAATAATTTTAAACAAAGGGAAAAGAGAGACCTGAAATTCAGAGGCAGAGTAGAGGGCAAGAGGCCAACAAGACAGAAAAGCGAATCAAGCAGTTGCCGAGACTATCTCCCAGGAGCAGGCCAAGGAGACTAGGAAAGGCCAGGCTCCACACTATGCTGGAGAGAAACAGTCTAAAGCTATTTTCTCATGTACGCGCCTGTCACTGGACACAGCTGAAATGCCGCACTTGCTTCTAACCCAGAACACTACACACAACTCAGGATGGAAAGGGAGTGTGAACTCTCAGTGCTTTCATACTGGTTATACATGACAGCGTCTTGTAAAAAGTAAACTAAGTAAAGGACATGCATGTCTTCTTCCCAGCATCTACCAGAAAATGTGGCTTGTCTTTACTGATGTCTGTGGCACACTGCTCGGCATGCTGGACAAAACAGAGGCTTCTACCACGTCCCTTGCATCTTTTGATCTGTTTTGTGGATTTTGTATTTTTCACAGACAGGGTCTTGAGGTGTGGCTCAGGCTGGCCTTGAATTTATAATTCTCCTGCCTTAGCATTAAAGACGCTGGGCTTCCTGACCATGCCAGCTTCACATCTGATTCTATTAGGGTGTATCAGTTCAGAGAGATCACTTTAAAATAAAAGTCTGGTCCTTGTAAATGACAAACAGTTCTCTCGACATAAGATTTGCTCCCTCATCTGTACTAGAAGTTTGTTTCTTTAAAAACTCAGTTATGTCATATAAACATGTTTTTTGTGTTTGTTTTTTTTTTTTTTAAATCCCAAGTGTGGGCTATGGAGTTGCTTTTAGTTTGTCCACAGCTGACAACTGCCTCATGCAGCTTGTAGAGGGGCGTGGTCTTTGCCAGCTGGAATGAGTGAAATTCTCAGGACTCTGGGAGAGGGTAAATATAAGCACCCAGCGAGAGAAAGACAGACAAACAAAACCCCGAGGGTTTCGAGGAAACGGATGGAGAAAGAAGACTGTGTGTTTGTCCCACTGCCGCCTTTTGCCTTCTGCTGTTGCTGGACAGCTGGATATCCCACTGCCGAGATTGGCATTTTCCCAAAGAACCCAACAGCCACCCTAACCAGCCAGAAGACTATAGGGGTCTCCGTCCCTGTTCCCCTGACCTTCTTTCTCTCCTGTCTAGGGTTGGGGAGTTCAAAGGGAGATGAAGGCTCAAGAACCCCAAATAAAGTAGAGTTTAAAAACTAGCACCTACACTCATCAGTATCTTCAGAAGCAATTACATACATGAAGATTTTACTTTTTCTTTCTTTCTTTCTTTCTTTCTTTCTTTCTTTCTTTCTTTCTTTCTTTCTTTCTTT